TTTGATTCCAAGCTTGGTGTATCCTACAAAGGGCTTGATCGTAAATCAAAACTCCATTGTTAGAGCCAGATGGTTTCATATGAGATCAGAATTCCCGACCAAACCAAAGTCGATCTATCAAAATCTTAAAAGATTTTTGTGTTGGATGTATATGACTTTATATAGGGGAAAAGATTTGATTCTGCTCATTGATTCATGGCCGAGTTATCTCCCCACTCTACTAGCTTGTTTCATCTTCTCTTCGTTTTACCAGTACATGGAAGACCGTCGCCTCCGTTTTGGATCCCTCGGCTCTTCCACTTCGTCCCTAGCTTCCGCCGCCGCCGTTCCTATCGTCGCAAAATACCGACGCTCCTCTGAATTCGTGACGGCCGTGCTATTCGGAGTCAACTCGGCAATTGGGTGTCTCCTGATGTTGGCTATCGTGTCGTTCAACGGTGGCGTTTTATGGGCGTCGTTTCGGGGCTCGCCGGGGGTTACTTGTTTTTCAGGTATTCCTACGAGGATCCCAAGGTGGTCGACAACGCCTGCGCTTGACCCTTTTCCTTTTCCGCAAAGTAATTTTCTTCTCTGTATAATTTACACATATTTCCTTTACGAATCATGGCAGTCATGAAATGAATTTTCCATCATTTTAATTCCTAAATCCTTTGATTTTGCTGAGGAAATGTAAAATGAAGTTGCGTTTGATTGAAAGAAAACAAAGAAATGAACCGTGATACTGTCAAAACACGTTGCTTTCTTCTTTCCTTTTTCTGCAATTAAAGATGAAGACGACAACCTTTGCTCTGTTTCGTAACTTGAAAAGTCAACTTTTTCCGTGGATTACATGCTTAACTTCCATCTTAAGCTACATAATCAATTTGATATTAAATTTTTAAGTTCTATTTATTATATATATAAAATTCTCATTTATATATTAAAATTAAGTGTATAAGAGTAAAATAATAAGGAAAAAAAACTGAAGGTGTAATCTTTTAAGTACCCTTAAAACAGGCTACCGGCTACAATATGGTCGTAGCCCATGCAATGCAAGAAGTGCATGCCAAACCGTTGGGCTTATCGAATATACCAGCAAATACCCATAAGAAAAAACTAAAACTTTATATTATAAAATCACAAATCAATTATTAATTAATGAGATATAAGATTTGGTTATTGTTGAATGTGAAGGAGGAGGAGGACAATGATTGTTGACTGTCTGTCCATTTATAGACATGGTCGCATCAGCTCAAGTTGGGAAAGAGTTTAGCACTGGAAGTTAGGTCCATTGACTTGTCTTCTCATATGCCTTTCGCCACCCCCACACTGCTCGTGCAAATAGAATATTAAAATAGTATAAATGATGATAAATTCTAGGGTAAAGTATACAATAAGATATTGTTTTTTTAGTTACTTGATTATTTAAAAGTATAAAATGATCATTTAATTATAGAAAGTTATTTTGTTGAGTTTATTGACTATTAAAAGTTATAAAAGAATCACTTGATTATTTATTATGTTTCAAACTCGTCATTTTCCATTAAAAAATTGACGATCGTCTGAGCCGAACATTAACATGTTAACTGAGATATGATAACCATTTGAGAATATGAGATCATAATTTATTATATCTCAATAAGCAAGTTAGCGTATAGCTCAGAGTACCGCCAAAATTTTAATGAAAAATGACGAGTTTATAACATAATGAATAGTCGGTGACCATTTTGTAATTTTTAATAATCGATGGACTCAACAAAACAACTCCTTATAATCGAATGATCATTTTATAACTTTTAATAGTTAAAAGACTCAATAAGACAATATCCTATAATCAGGGGTTCTTTTGTATACTTTACCAAAGTTATATTAATACAGTAGTATTAAATTTGAGTTCATGTTATCAAGACCCTTACGTGAAAATTAAAATATATATATATATAAATTCCCTTACGTGAAACATTGATTTGCTATTTGTAGTTTGTGTTACAAAAGCAAAGACTTCTGCAGTTACATGACATCATTTGCACAACATAAAAATTAAATTAGGGTAAATTATATTCAGTAGTCATTGAATTGTAAGTTTTGTATTAATTTATCATTAAATTTTAAAATATTTCAATATTAACATTAAACTTCGATTTTGGGTTCAATTAAAGTAGTCAATATTAAATTTGAATGTAATAATTTTAAGGGTAAATGACGTATTTAGTACCTAAACTTTCAATTTTTCAAAATCATACCTAAAGTTTAGTTTTTGTTTCATTTTAGTATTTTCGTTCAAAATTTGAACGGTAAGTTCTGAAAAAATTGAAAGTTTAGGTACTAAACACGTTAAGTTTTTATGGTGGGTACTAAAATGAAATGAAAACTAAACAATAGGTATGATTTAAAAAAAAATAAAAGTTTATGTACTAAAATGAACCAAAACTAATAGTCTAGATAGTAAATACTAGTTCAACCTAATTTTAATGTTAATGCAGAAGTTAATTAAGTGAATCAAATGACTTTTGAGTGTAATTAAGTTCTGTTTGAGTTAAAAAATACTATATGTGTTATCTATAACATATTTAATCAAATCAGTTATAAATTTCATTAATAAGAAAATCAACATTTTAGCTGATTTCATCATATGAATTATAAACTGATCTCAAACTATTTAAATGAAGAATCAAAATTGATGAGAAATTCAGAATAATTGTACCAAAAAATAAAATTTGGAATTTAGCATCATTATCTAATTCCTTTGAAGTTTAGTCACAGAGAGTTACCCTCCCTCTCGTTTGAAGTAATTCAAAGGTTAAAGGTAACTTTCCCATGAATGACCAAACATCAAACTTTTTTACAATTTACATCATATTCTTTTACCTCTCATATATTGATATTGCTTCTTCTTTTTTTACCGTGTGATTTTATAAAATATTTTTTTATATGGTTATATTTTAGTATTCAGTTATTAGTTTTATAAACTATTTTTGTTAGATCATTATATATATTTTTTCTTTATTTAATAAAACTAATAGTTATTATTAGTTGAAAACATAATTACTAATCAAATAATTGTTAAAAATAAGATTAACTGGAATAATAGTCAAATATTATTTAAATTAATGTTTAAAAATAAAAAAAAATTAAAAAATTAAATTCAAATCGATTGTTGCTGTATGAACTTGAATTATTAAATGAATAAAAATCAGTATGTAGTTGAGTCCGTGAGTTTATTGAATGCTACAAAATCACAACTTCAACTCGAACTCGATAAATGACCGTATCAAACTCAGTTTTTTTTAATCGAGTTCGTCTCATTTACGTCCATATTGTTCCTCAACTTTCTTCTTCTCAAAGTGAGGGATGGTTCGTCGTTGAAGAAAACATGGTTTTCAGAACCGGACCGGTTAGCGAATCGATCATGCTACCGGTTTACTGGTTCAACTGATCGAACCGGTTCAACCGGTCGGAAGAACCGGACGACATCATAATTATTTAAAAAATTAAATAAAAATATCAAAAATATTTAATAAAAATAATTTTTTATATCACAAGTCATATTCAAATCAATTCATAACATATATAAGTTAAAAACCATAAAATCAAGTGAAACAAAATGATTCAAATTAACTACCACATAATATTTAAGGTAAAACATATTAAATAATAAATATAATTATATAACTATAATTACAAAATAAATTTGGGGTTAAAAAATCATAACAAAATGATATTGTTTGGTTTAATTTTTTTTTAAACAATCCCACGTGGCTAAGAAACATAAAAGAGCATCCCAAAAGTCTAAAGAGTAAAAATATGAGAACAAAACAATCTCACATTGCTAAGAAATATAGAAGCGCATCACAACTAACTTCTATAAATAATAGAAGTAATTTGGCATTCAAAATCATGGAGCCTTTTGGTGAGCATTGAGTGAACTATTTTCACTTCAATCAAACTCGAATTTTAGGCTTCAATCGAGCTTCTAAATTTTTTTTGAGTTAAGTTTTAATATTATATTTTGAGTTTGAGTTGAACTTGATAATTTTTAGCTTGTGAGTTTGAGTTGAGTTGAGCTTACTTTTAAAGTTTTCAAGTTCGAGTCGAGCTCAGCAATACTCGAGTTCGACTTGGCTCGTTTAACAAACGACGTTGTTTGGTTTAATTTTTTTAAAAAACAAAAATCCCGGTTTTTTCCGATTTTCGGCCGGTCCGGTTCGAACGGTTCAACGGTTCTGACCGGTTCACTAAAAACGGTTCAACAGATTTAGATTAAATCAGACTAAACAACGGTACCCGATTGAACCGGTTAAACCAACCGATCCGGTTCGAGTTTCAAAACAGAGAGAAAATGCAACAAATAACCCCAAAAATCACACCTTTTTTCTTTAAAAAAGTAATGTTTAATATGTCTCTCTCTTTCCTACGCAGATCGGCAGATGTCACGTGCGATCTGAGGTAGTACATCGTGCTGCTCGTTTCTCTGCCTTCTTCTGCAACTCTGCATCCCCAGCCCACCGCATAGATTCACAGACCCCAAATTAAATTTTAACCATCCTAATCACTATTTCCATGTGTTTAAAACTGCTAAAATCTAGCTTTTAAGTGTTAAATCCTCATAAAAGTTAATTTTAAGCCTTAATCCATGCGGTATTTGGTATTTGCCTGTCATTTGTGCAAGAAAAACTGGGAAATTTTCACTACCCAAACCCCAAAAAGTTCAAAAAATTCTGGGAAATTTACTTAAAATACTGAAACGTTAGCTTAAAATGCGTTCGTACAAGAAAGTTGCAGCCTTTCTTGGACAGCCGTCTTTACCAATTATTCCTATTATCATTATTACCATGCACAAAGGTTATTGTGTTTGTCAATCCAGAAAGATCATCAGATCATTGTTATCTTCTTCCTCTCTCCGCCACTCGCTCTATTTGATTTCTTCTATTAATGATGACTCACTGTTTGCCCTCATTACGTCATTAGTCTCCCCTTTGATTATCTCTTACTCCGACTTTAAATACAAATTGCACCAATTCGCATTCATTGCTTTGTACCACCCCTGTTTTGCTGTTTTCAGCTTCTGGTTAATCTTTTAAGCTCTGGGTCGTAACTATCCCTGTCAGACACGCTTAATTACTGCCTCTGCCACTGTCATACACTCCAGAAAAGGGCCACTTTCTTTCAACACTTACATTTACTTGCCGCTTCCTTCTTCTTCTTCCTCTTTTATTTCATTGGTTTTAAAGGGTTCCTTTGTTTACTCGCCATTTCTGGGTACTTCGCTGTTTTTTGTTTCGTTTTCTTGGTGGACTGAGTTACGTAAAGAACACCAAAGCCATCGGTTTTTCGTTTTGTCCTGTGGTGACCGGAGATTCAGAGGACAGCAATGGCTATCAGGTCGGGTGGTTCTACTTCGTCTCTCCGGTCTCTGCCTCCACCACGTCCAAATTCTCCACCGGAGTATCCTGATTTGTATGGGAAACGAAGGGAAACGGCTAAGATTCAGATGCTTGAGAGAGAGATCAGTTTCCTTGAGGTGTGTTTAAATTGCCTTGGTGTTTTTCAGTTTCAATATTATTATTGTGCTTAACTTGCATAAAATTTTATGTTTTTTATAAATGGATTAGGATAAAAATGTATACTTTATATGTTCCTGTTAGTGCAAATTGAAAGTTAATATTCACAATCGAACTACTACTACTACAGGATGGAAAATTTTATTATTAATTCATTCGAACCGATTGACACATTCGGATATGGTTAAAAATCAAATCTTTTATAAAAATCTGAACATAATTCTTGCTCATGCTTGAATTTGTAAATTATGATCTGAATGAACGGACCTTGGTTTTATCAGTGGAAAACAACATCCTTTGTGCCCTTTATTTGCATTGTAAAATGTTGCTGATGATTTCACTCGGAGCAGGAAGAGTTAAAATCCGTCCAAGGTCTCCAACCGGCTTCGAGATACTGCAAAGAGTATGTGAAGTTTTTCAGGCAACTAGTTCATCTGTAGGTAAAGTTGAGCATTAGCTGAAGAATTTATACATGACAAAGATTTTTCTTCTTCATTTCAGGGTTACAGATTTTGTGATGGCAAAATCTGATCCTCTAGCACCTACGTAAGAGTTAAAAATGTTGCTAGTTTTCAACAATTTTCATGTAATATGTTGAGGATTTAAGCCCTTACGGTTTATATTTATGTTCTTTGAAGCAGAAGCCGGAAGAATCGAAAGTCATGTCGGTTTTGGAAGTGGCTTTGGTACCAATTTCTTGTGCTTCTGGTTTATGTTTATTCTTTTTATTAGTTGGTATTTATATATACACCATGGCTACTTCTAACTTGTGGTTTCTCTACTTATCCCACTTTATGACATTAATTCCGTTATTTTGCAGCCGAATTCCCTGCTTTAACTTGTCATGGATCTGCTGTTGCTGCTATTCCGGGTACTCTTCCCATCTGAAGTGTTCGCAATGCTGTGACGGTGATTTATGCAACTGCGGCTCATGCATTTGCAACTTATGTAAATGCAGGCCCTGCAAATGCACCTCATCTGACCCGAGTTCATGCAAGTGCCACTCATTGGACTGCAGCTCCTGTAAATGTAGCTCGTGCGACTGCAGTTCATGTAAATGCAGCACATTCTGCAATTGCAGTTCGCGTAAATGCAACCTGTGTGACTGCAGTTCGTGTAAGTGCAGCACTTGCGACTGCTGTTCATGTTCAAGCTGCTGGCCAATCCCGAAATCACGATGTAAGTGCAGCTCAAGCGACTGCTGTTCGTGCCCGAAATCACGATGTAAGTGCAGCTCATGCAACTGCTGTTCGTGTTCAAGCTGTTGCACAATCCCGAAATGTCAATGTAAGTGCAGCTCATGCAGCTGCTGTTCATGTTCGAGCTGTTGCACGATCCCGAAATGGCAATGCTTCTCGTGTCCTAAATCCAGTTTATGCAGAAAGGTCTCATGCAGCAGCCAAAGCTGCTGCATTTTTTAACTCCATGCACAGATTGTTTTTGCTGCAGATGCAAATGGTCTCCCAAATGTCCAAAGGTAATCCTTTGCTGCAACTGTACAAAAACCTGCTGTAATCCTTGCTGCCTATTATTCTAATATATTTCTGCATTTTCGATTTCATATTATGGTATGAATTATTGAATCAATCCCAAAATTTGTTGGGACTTCAAAAACCCATATTTAATCTGGAATTGCAGGAGCAGACTACTGTTCTAATGTCATTTTAGGATCACGATGTTGGGTGACAGTGAGAGAGTATGATGAACCTCTTTTTCAGGTCCCTTAAATTCAAACCAGTGGAGGCAATTTCATCATGGATGATGCAAATGGATTGAATTTGTAAATGGTTTCCATGGATTGAAACAATTTCAGTTGCTGAAAAAGAAAAGATCTCTGCTAGGGGTCCCCCATCGTTTGTCCCCCTCTTTTCTTTTCGTTGTATTGTGTGCTGCTTTGTCGAAATCCGCAATGAACCTTGAATGTACTTATTGATGGTGGATGTTCATTTGTAGGGAAATCTGTTACCATCAGCTTCATCAAGCAATCTCCATAAAATAAACTCAAGTAAACAAATATTACAAACGACCCTTTTTTTGAATTGAGGGGCCTTGTTTACAACAAGTCAAATCTCAATCTTAAAAATGACATTTTCAGGACTAGAGGGGTCCTTCTGCACACCAGATTTCCTGGATGGAAACTAGTGCTGAGCGAGGCTTGTTAATGGGTGACAAGAAGCCAGAATTAATGAACTTGTCAATCGCTCAATTCTGTCCACGAGAAGGAAACTGGGCTTTTAACTTGGTTTCGTGCATTGCCCCACACTATTGAACCAAATTCAGGTTTAGCCATTGGGCTTGTCCCTCTCTTGGCTACAAAAGTGACGGTATATCTCTTCTTTTCCCCCACGGTTCTAAAAGTGAGTGCCCTCGGCCTAACTGAGATCCCAACTGTCGATGGTCCATTGACTGTGACTTTGTATACGGACCGTGCAGCGCCAACGTTTGTTAATTCGCGAGTGTATCGAACAACCCTTTTGTCCCCGAACAAGACTGAGAACGATGGGTAGTTGAGTTCACCGGGATCATTGAATTTCCTCGAACATGTAATGTTGGGGTGCTTCACTATGGTCTTGACATGATCGATGGTGTAGCCGAGTGAGCACAAAAATGTAATGTATTCATCGATGGAGATATCGTACACTAGGCCGGGTGAAAGAGCTTTCTGGGGATCAACATGGCCAGCACCACGAGCCCATGGGTTCGAAAATGAACCATCGGCAGCATCGTGGAGAGACGAGTTGGTGTTGTCTTGGGTGTAGGCCGTGGTAATAAGAGCCGATTTTATCGCACTTGGGCTCCATTCCGGATGAGCTGCCTTGATCAATGCTGCTAGCCCACTGATGTGTGGGCACGACATTGATGTGCCTAAAGCAACAAACAGAAGCATGATAAATAACTAAACAAAATAATAGAAGTCGAATGCGAATTATACGAGTATATCTAAATATTTATAGAAATATTGTCGGATTATTCCTACTAATGGTATTTTGTTTATGAAAATAACTCTGTTGGACATAAAGACGAGCAGATTATGGGCAAAAAGCAAGAGATATAGCCGTTAGGCAATACCTGACATGATGTTGAACATGGTCTTCCTCGTGTCCTTGGCCAGGCCGGTGGGACCAATGGCCTCGGACCAAGCAGCCAATATGTTGACTCCCGGTCCAATCACGTCCGGTTTCAAGATCTGCGGAGTCACCATATTGGGTCCGCGGGAACTAAATGCCGCAACAACTGGTGACGGCTTAACATCCAACACCGTGCCACCGAACTCAAGGGCGACCGTCGGCTTGCGATCGGACCGTGCGTATTCTCTAATCAAGTCGCCGAGTTTCCTCCCCACCGCCACGGCAGGTAACAAGTGACTGTCCGCCACCAGTTCTTCACCACTAACCGCCGTGTTCGCTAATATCATCCCAACGCCGCCTGCGTCGCGCACGACTGCTCCCTTTTCAACTCGGGCGTTTGTTCCCCTATCGCAGATCACTACCTTCCCACGTACCAAAGCCGGATCAAGTGAGCCGGTCAGACATAAATTACTCGAACTTTTATCTTTGCTGTAAACCAAACCGACCGGTTTATTTCCCATTCCTTGACCGCTGTAAAGCGAGACACCGTTATAACGGACTTTATTTCCTAAAACTGCGTAGGCGGGGAAGTCTCGATCTAATGTCCCGGCGCCAACCGTCATAATCCATGGCGCCACGTTGGCAAGACTGGCCTTAGTGGGCCCGCTGTTTCCGGCGGAGCAAGAGACGAAAATACCCTTCTCCATCGCCGTGAAAGCTCCGATGGCGATGGTGTCACGGTAATACGGAGCGGATCCGCCACCGAGGGACATGGAGAGAACATCGACACCGTCTTGGATAGCCCGATCCATACCGGCCAGAATGTCGGACCCGAAACAACCCGTTTCCCAGCAAACCTTGTAAGCGGCGACTCGAGCGTGGGTAGCCATCCCGCGAGCTGTTCCGCTTGCGTAACCGAGGAGGCTAGCGTTGCCCACGTGAGATCCAGCTGCGGTGCTGGCAGTGTGGGTACCATGACCGTCTTTATCACGTGGGGACTCGATCTCTCTGGGCTTTTTGTAAATTCCACCACCACCAGTGGCCATATGGTAGCCCTTCGAAAAGCTTCGGGCTCCGATGAGTTTCTTGTTGCAAAGCTTGGGATTGAAATCAGGAGCCGATTCACACGCACCACGCCACTTAGAAGGAATCTCCGGCAAGCCGGAATCGTCAAAGCTTTTAGATTCCGGCCAAATCCCGGTGTCAAGGACTCCAATAATGACATCCCGAGAAGCTTGTTCGAGTTGCTGAGTGTTATGGCCTTCCCAGAGCCCGAACTCAGAATCAAGGCCTAAAAATTGCGGGGTACGAGTCGTATGAAGATTATAAACAGTATCTTCAAAAACACCCAAAACAGAGTCCGATTTGTTAAGAGCTTCAGCTTGCTCTGGATCAAGTGAAGCAGCGAAGCCATTAAACGCAGTGTTATAAGAATAGAGAAGGGACTCAGCTGGGGTGGCAGAGAGTGATTGCAAGCTTGAACTGTACCAATCATGGTGGGTTTCAAAAGACAGTGGCTTGTCTTGATGTTTCATGTGGACAATGTAAGTCTTTTTTGCGGTAACTGTGAGACAAAGTACGAGGAAGATGAAGCTGGAGAAGAATGTAGATGAAGCCATGGCTGTAAACCAGGGATTATCAGTACTATCAGTAAGTACTATTAATGAGCTAATACTAATATTGTAAAAAGGGAGGAGACAAAGAACAGGATAGCAGCAATGCAATAGACTGACGACGGATTTATAACGAACTTGTGTTTCTAATTGGGCTTCCCATTTTGCTTTATTTACTTTCTCGGTGTCATTCGTGATTAAAGAATTTATTATTATCTTTAGAAATTTTAAATTTAAACGTTAATAATTATAATATGATGATTGAACGTTATTGTTAAATAATTGAGAGTATATTTAAAATAAATACTACTGTAATCACCTTAATTTATCTAAAAAAATTATAAAGAGGGCATATTAATAAAAAAATAGAGAGAGAGAGAGATTTATCTTATAAAAATTAAAAAAATAAATAAATATTAATTTATAATTCCATACTAATTAAAAATAATTTTATAAAATAAAATTATTATAAGTGAGTTTTGTTAATATGTAATTTAGTTTAAACTGAAATATATTTTTAATTGTGAATTATGTCGTTTATGAGTAGGGATGGCAATGGGTCGGGTCGGGTCGGGTTTTGGGCCACCCGACCCGACCCGAGAAGAAAGGATTTTTCACCCGTGACCCGACCCGACCCGACAAATTAAGGTTTCACCCGACCCGACCAATATATGACTTAGAAACCCGACCCGACCCGAAATAATAATAAAAAAAATTTTATTCAATGAAAACAGTGACTTAATTGAAAAAAATTATATATGGAGGGACATTATTGTAATTATCCCTAAATATATAGGATAAAATTATATATATTTTTCGGGTCGGGTCGGGTCGGGTCAGATTTTTTTCACCCTAAACCCGACCCGACCCGAACAGTACATTTAAAAAAAACCCGACCCGACCCGACCCGAACCCGAAATTTTTTTAAAAAAATCCGACCCGATCGGGTCGGGTCGGGTCGGAACCCGTCGGATTCGGGTTGAGTTGCCATCCCTATTTATGAGTAAATATATAAAATCATATATTACGGTATTATTTTAAACTATTAAATATCTAAATAAATAAGATATATTTAATTAGATATTTCCCATTTTACGAAGCTAATGCTCCACATCTATAACGGTCGACCCATGTCTATAGTGTTAAGAGTGACAGATATTTGTCTTTATAAAAAACAAATAAGGGATGAGGTAGGACAGACAGCTGTAGACACGTCAATGCAACCTAATGTCTATTTTTGTCTTATTATATATATTGGTAAGTATTTATATATCGTATACTTATAAAGAGAAATTATACGATGTATCATGTATCCAACAATCTCAAATCTACCTTATTAGTGAATCTAAATAGTGATTCTAGCATAATTCGGTTTTTGTGATTAAAAATATTATTTTTTTTTTAAAATAAAAACCACATGTTATGTTTTATGTAATTCAAATTTAAGTAGTTTTGTTTATCATTTTTAAAAAAAAAATTATTTTTGTTAGTTAAATTAGGGAGATAATTGAAAAATACATAGATGTATTATTATAATTATCATTATATATATAATATATTATTATTTTAGATCGAGTTGAAGATTTCCTACTCTAAATTTAGATTCGATTCTATCCTAAAAAAATCTAATCTGATTGAAACCTAATTTTTTTAATAAAATGATTTAACCCTATAAAATCATATTAGATTAAAATTTATCAAATGAAAATTTTATACTAATTTTTAACTTTATATGTATGATGCTCGTGAATTTATTTAAAAAAAACTATATTACCCTATGATTAAGGCTCTCATTGGTAATATTGTCTAAAATCACTTTTAGTTTAAAATTTCGTTTTTACTGTAAATCAATGTTAAATGGATAAAAACTAAAAAAATAATGTGATGGAAACGGTGGTTTCAAATCAATCGCATAAACCAGAAGTTCTAGCCTTTTCATTCCAAGTTTCCAACTTTGCGTTTAGAAGCAAAAATATATTTTTTACTCTTACTAATGGATGGACTCTAATCAATTATGTATTTATATTTTATTTTAACAATTTAATACTAACATCCTTAAAAAATAATTTATTGATTTTAATAAATTATTTTAACTAACTTAAAAATGAATAGAATTCATGATTGTATATTAAAATATTAATAATGATTTATTTTAAAATACATTTTTATGATAATTATATTTTTTATTTATATTTTTATTATAATTTAAATTGATCTAATTTATATATAATAATATTTATTAAAAAAATTGATTATAGTTTAAATTGATATAATTCATATATAATTTAAATGCTATATTTTTAATTTACAAAATAATATTTATAATGTATCTTATCTTTTCAAACTTACTTTTTAACATAAATTTCAAACAGTTAAATTTTAAATTGTACTTTTATAAAATACTTTTAAAAGTTCGTTTCTGCAACACTTTTGAAAGTCATTTTTCAAAAACAATGTCAAACTTATGTAAGAGAAAAAAATCTATATGTTTCATATTATAAGTTCTTGCAATATTTATTCCTTCCCAATGTGCATTTAGGGTAGTATGATCCATTATTTTGTTCGTTATTTACTTATTTTCGCAAAAAGAAAAGTCGATATTATAAGGAAGAAAATTGTTATATTTTAATATTAAATATTATCTTTTGATTTTTGAATGAAGTGGGGTCATGATATTTTCGATACTGTATTAAAATTGTATATCTTAAATTTAAAGTCCTTTATGATACCATCTAATATTTGCTCATTTTAAAGCCGATATAATTTAGTAGCCGGAAAAAAAAATAGGTGAGTTTGAAAATGAAATTAACCTAAAACGGGCAGCTTTTAAATTACTACTTTTAAAAAATTAGGTGAGTTGGAAAATGAATTAGTAGCTTTAGGGGTAGAAATTTCGAGCATCTGTATTAAATGGTACGCATTTAAATTATTATTATTTCATTTTTAATTAAGATTGTTTTATGCCTATTCGGATAAGACAAAAATTATTTAAGCTTATAAATTGGAAAACTTGGATTAAAGCCAACAGCATAACAAACAATTAAATTAAAACTTACAATGTTACTGTAGTCTGCAATGAACATGTTCCAGATATGTTTCTTATGCAAACAATTATATAGGTAAAATTATAGTTAGATCAAGAGTATATCATAAAAAATATTAGAATCGATTATTCATATTTTTTATCTTATGTGATATAAATAGATGTTACTTCTGTAAACAGTTTTTAAATATTATTCTATTAAATAAATAAAAATAAGAAGGGGATAAAGCACATTTAGAAATTGCTCTGGTAACACGTTAGTGGGTCTTTCGTTTCTTGGGTTTATTCTACTTCCTTTCCCCTTTTCTTCTTTCAATCTTTGTTTCCTGAGTCTTTGTTGGCTGGGTTGTTCATGAATCAAAGTGACAAGGGTGCTGGTGCGAGTCCGATGAACAGGAGGCAATTGTTTACAGCTAGTGAAGATCAATCGTTACAGCTCTTTCCTCCTCAGATTGTCAATGAGAATGTCACGATTAAACCACTGGTAGAGGTTTTTGATGCTGGTATAAGTGTTTGGAAGCATTCGATTGTGGCGCAAATTTTGGGTAAGCGTCCAAATCTGAGCTCTTTGCATCATTTGGTTAATTTGCTTTCGGGCAGCTCTGGTGAGATTGAAGTTAATTTCGTGGGGAAAAACCTTTTTTGTTTCAATTTCTCAATTTAGAAGCTAGTGAGTGGGTTTTGGCGAATGACCCTTGGCACATTCAAAATAAACCGTTAATTTTGAGAAAATTGGAACCGAATCTTAAGTCTTTAGAATTTAGTTCAGATAGACTCCCTATAACACCTTAATCTAATCTGACCCAAAGATTCATGGATTACAATATTACACGTGACTACCAAAATAGTGACTCAAAATTTTTCTTTAAAAATTGGTTGTAAAACAATTGGTAATCGTTCATCCATAGAAATCAAGATAAAACATAATATAATATGAGTTTACAAAATATGGAGAGCTCCCAAAATATATCCAAAATAATGCAAATACTGATTGAAAATAAAAGTTACGATTGAATACACATAAGGGTTCATAAATCGTACACGCCCTCTAAGAATGACTCAAGACGTACTCTGGTAGTCTCTGGAAATCTAATTTACTGCACAGGAATGTCTGACGACGATAACTCCCCACAAACTGTCCCCTTAAGAACCTGCACACGGAAACACATTCCGAACGCTGAGCTTACAAGCTCAGTACCTCACTAATAATTATACTATACTACATTCATTCATTAAATGAACTGGCTAGTGGCACAATTATGTAACATGCAAATACTGATATCAATATGTGGCTGGCATCATGGTACGACTAAAGGTTCTGCATCTCGGAGCTCACGCACCCCTCTAACCTGCTAGAATACCTTTGGGGTACCTGGGTGAGGTCCATAATTGTATCGAAAACGTATACCCAGCCCCTTAGGTATATAGGGTGAGATCCGGAGCTACATCGAAAACGTACACCCCACCAACTTACTACATCAAGTCTTAGGGCATCTACGCCCAGTCGGCTGTTGAAGTGACTTGGCACTGACTTAGATATCCACTAACTGTCGTATTCTGCTAAAGAGGAACTCGAGTGTCCTGAATGTTTTTCGAGTGTCAAATAAGGTTAGTTTTATGTAAACTCAATTGTTACTGTTTCTACTATTATGATATTAATTATTGTTTTTGCTTAAAGTCTTATTTGTTGTTATTCTGATGTATTTGGGGTACCTCAGGTCTCTTCTATAATTCTTTGGACTATTTATCCAAAACTGCCTGTTAGTATCGATATTGATCCTACAATATCGATTCTGAACCTTTGGTATCTATACCCATATGTTGGTATCAATACCCTCTATTTGGCATAGGCTGATTGGGTGAGGAAGTATTGATACTCCTGGCTGAGTATCGATACTCTGGTACTGGATATCGATACTGGTTTAAGTATCGATACCAATTTTAGCTTCAATGTTTTGAAAATACTCCCAATATCGATACTTCCTTTGGAGTATCGATACTCTATGTGAGTATCAGTACCATAATTATACATTGGATTATTGGTT